ATAAAAAATTTATATCTTTATGTTTGAAGCCTGAAATGTGGCAAAAGGTTGAAAAGTTCAAGGGGGCCGAATACTTTCGCAAGGCACTGTAAATGCCCCTTGATGCAGAAAATTAAGAGGAAATCCTGTACTGTCTCTGCTTAAACATAGCTCATATTTTCATATTATCCAGCTCTTACCTCATAGACTGGCTAGAAAATTAAGTACATTTACTGTGCTTTATGTCATTGTTACTTCTATTATTCTAGCATTTTCATTTGCTTCATTTTTGGTTAAAATCAGGTCTGGGTTGGGTTTGTGTGTTTTCGAACAGTTCCTGTGTTTTAAATCGTTCTCACATAAACAGGGTGTTTTGTTTTAGAAACGAATAACAATTCAAAGTCTGTTTTTTTAGGCATTGTGCTCCACCCTTCACCACTACTTTCAAAACATTGAATATTGACAATATTTCCCCTTTTTATTTTATTTCTCTTTTAGTATGTATAGTACTAGCAAATAATAAACTGGATTGCTGCATTTCATCCACAGAGTCTCACGAGGAACACGGCGATTGAAGTTGCAAGTAACGTGAAAGCTTTACATAACGAAACGGAGTCCTTACTGGTCGGACGAGTTTCTCTGGTAAGTTGTGCACAGAAGTGCATTCTTCACACTCTTAGCCTACAGCTGACAGGCTGTTTGACGCATTCTGTTTCTGTGCACCATGAGGCTGGTAGCATTTCAAATTGCTTTGAAAACTGGAACAAAGAGTCATTCAGGCAAAGGCCGGTAAAGGGTATTTTATTTTGGTGGCCCTAAGTGGAAAGGATGTTAAGTGGAAAAGAAGAAAGATGGCCAAATATTTTTCTTTTATATATCTCTTTTTACAAACATTTTGTGTATGAAAATTCGATACTGCGAGGCAGTATGAATTGTTACCCGCATGTCGCATAAAGAAAGCCAACTTCGAAACTACGAAGAAACAATATCAAGAAAAAATTAGAAACCTCAGCCAAATATAGAAAGAACAGAAAGGTGTCCTACGTCTCCTTTAATATCAAGCATATACATCACATCCCCCTAATTAGTATGGGTGAGAGCTAGGACAGAGCCTAGAGCAGCACAAGAGACCTGTGTGATACAGTTCACCTTGTCTGACCTTGTTCGCTGTTGTGTGCGCTCTTACTTTTCATTATAATATTTGTTGTTTAGACTTTATCATGGACCCTAAAGTTGTTTTGTTAAGAAAATAAAAATTGTGTGTAATTACATAAAAAAACAAATCAAGTGGTTACTGTATAGAGCAGACCTGTACTGTACTTGGGTACGATTAATGATGTCTAGGGAAGCAGTGTCTTTTATTACTAAAAACACAAACCACTGTATGAATGTTAGTTATGATTGTTTATTTAATCATTTTTGGTGAAAAAAGTAAAATTAGTGGTCCTTAAAGAATCGTAATTTTTCCCCTTAAGAAGTAATAGAACAAGTTTGTTTTTCTTTTTACAAATACTTGCTAATCAGTAGGGTTTATGGGAAGGAATTGTGTTCATACAAAATGAGATATGAGTGTATACAGTACTCATAACCATATTGTAACAACATCTCAACTGTTGTTCTGTTCACGTGCCCCCCTTTTTTAATTTTCAGGACTTCTTACTTTTTCTTACTGCTTGAACTTTCATCTGTAATTGTGACTCCTGCAAATGTATCCAAATATGCAGGTGTATATGCACTTGGTGGTGAAATTATCTTTTTAGTATCTATTTAGAATAATTTCTATACTTTTCTGATAGAATTCAGGAGTGTAAGGTTTTGTTAATTACTATGGTTTAATATTCCTTATTTGTATGTACGAGGTTTGCATAACATGATGGGTTAGACTTTGGACTCATAACTGACAGGTCTTGGTTTGAGTCCCAGCTGCAGCTGTTGTACCTTCAGTGAGGTACTTAACCCCAGTTGTTCATCCAGCTGTACCAGTGTGGACCAGCACTGCAGGGGGGGTCGTCATTCCTGCGATGGACAGCTGTCCCACCCAGGGGAGGGGAGTCCTGTTTTCTCTAATCAGCTTAACATCACAGAAACCAGACTTGAGCTCCTGGCTCTGGTCTGGACTGCACTTACAGTGCTGTGATCTGTATTCTGAAGGCAGAGGAGAAATCTCAATTTTTCTTTGTTTTTATTGTTTTCCCTCAGCAACTGGACCATCCGCATGAGGAGCTGCTTTCAAGTGCCCTGCACAGCGTTGAGCTCGAGCTCAGGAAACTGTCTGAGATCCCTTGGCTTTATCATATCCTTCAGCCAAACGATGAAGAGGTAAGAGAATCCGTGCTAAAACGATTCAATTGAATGTCTATCCTATGACTGTGACTTCTAGGGTTTCTAACTGTATGAATGAGTGTCATTTTATTTGAATGATTTCGTGAAACCGTTGGTAGATAGATGATGGGTAAATACTGAGTCAGAGCTCAGTGTTTGAGAGTTTAATTTTCATCTGTGTTGTCCCAGGAACAATCACTGGAATATGGCAAAAGGAACAGCAGAAGCACTATGTTTCGTATAGTGCCAAAATTTAAGAAGGAAAAACCCCAAAGACACAAGTCCAGCCCTCAGTCAGGTAAGTGTTTTCTATCTCAATCACTTTGAATCACTTTCAGAAGGCTGGGAAAATTTTAGAACAAATGGAATAAACAAAACTGTATAGTAATATTCCAATAAAAGTAGTTTTGATTGCAGTACACCACAGTACTATTACAGGTTACAACTGACAGTTAATTAGCATCATTCAAAGAGCAGTGTCCATATCCAAGCATAATCGCAAATGCCATTAAAGGTATTCATGATGCAAAGAAAGGAAAGCAAAAATGTGATTCGTTCTTCCTCTAAGGTTGCAGAAATTCCACATCCCCAGACTTGTCTTGTATCCTATCTTTTGTTTTCCTTTCTGGTACACCAAACAGGGCTTATATGGTGTGAATACCGGTTATGGTGAGTGCCGAACTCCCGATTCACCTAAGTGATGTTTTAGCTCAGTGCAGTTTAAAACCTTCTGTGGGTGTGTGGTTTCCAGCTTGGAGAAGCAAAGAGGATGCACATTGTGCCCTGGCACTAATCAGTCCTGCCACATACTGTAGGCCTACAGTAATAATAAGAACCTGTATTTTTATGGCACTTCTCATAGCACAGTACAGTACATCGTTAATGAGCATTGTATTACTCTATATACTATGCTACAATCCATACAAATTTTGTGTATTCAATTAAAAAAATCAAGTTATGTAATTCTGTGTAAACACATAAATTGCACATAAATTACCTCACTTTATGTACCTTTCTTCTACTACTTTTTTGCATATCAGGTGTTTTTTTTACACCTTAAAGGGTTCATATAGCAATTGACAGTATAATATTAAATGCCTTTTCTTACTTGTCAGCATACCCAAAATCTGTGATGTAATGCTGTTGTTTTCCTAAAGCATTTGAAACACATAAATTATTTATTAATATAAATGTGACAGTGTCATTCTGGAAGCAAAACCCAGTAATCTGTACACACTCAACGTGTGTGTTAGTTTGTTTAGATTTTCAAATGGATTTTCATGACGTTCCTCATGAAGATTGAGTCTCACAGTACTTTATTTCATTGCCTGCTGGGATAGGTCTTGGCTCCCATGCAACCCTATACTGGATAAACGGGTTAGAAAATGGATGGATGGGTGGAACATGCCCAACCATGTTGCTTTCAAGAAACAGCTGGATGAGATTGTTATTCAGCTACTAGCTACCCAACAGCTAAACAGACATAATGGCCTCCTTTTGATTTGTAGCATAATTGTGTAATGTTCTTAACACACATGCTGTTCTTCAAAGGACCAAGTCATGCCCGACCATCCATTTTCCAATCCCTTTGTCCAGTACAGGGTCACAGGGGAGCTGGTACCTATTCTGGCAAGCAAAGGGCACAAAGTAGGATACACCCTGGACAGGAGGCCGGTCCATTGCAGGGCACACACAGACACAGAGATGCACTAACTCGCATCAGGGCAAATTGACCTACCAGAATGTGTTTGGGCTGAAACCAAAGCACCCGGAGAAAACCCACACGAACAATGGGGAGAACCAACAAACTCCACACGGAGAGCCCCGCAGGTCCGGAATTAAACCCAGGGCCCACCCCAGCGCTGTGAGGCAGCAATGCTAACTGTACCGTCCCAGGCCATGATCCAAAACATTGTGCGCTTGAAACCTGTAGCACAGATGCCAACAATTGAATTTTGCAGACTCAATAATGTGACTTCAAAAGTGTATCAATTTGCAGACACGACTTGTAATAAAGAAGTCCTTTGCTTTCTGTCTCTGTGTGCTTGACCGCTGAACAGACGGTCATATCAAGGTCACAGTCTAGGACACAGTTTGATGCTTCGAGGAATATCAAGTGTATGTTTGTCTCCGGAGCAACAGACACAAGTTTCAACATTTAAAACACATTACAAATTGCCCTCCAGAATGCAAATAAAGCAAGTAAAGATATTTACTTGCTTATGTTTATATAAACACGATTATATAAACCCTTTAGGGAACATGGTTCAGAACAACATTGTCTTTTTTTTCCATTGTGATGTAGGAGTCGGAAAGGGCAAGAAAGTTCACTGATTTCATCAGTCATACATGAAAATTAGCTATTTCATAGAAGTATCACTGTGGTTTGTTTGAACAAGATCCAAATTAATTGCAGTTTCTAATTCTCAGAGAACAGGAGAAACACTTCATTAAATTTTAGTTGTGTTGTTTTAATTTGAAAAAGAAATTGATGCACAAATTAATAAAATGTAGACAAGAACACATGTATTTTAAAACACAGAACTGTGTAATGAGAAAGTGTTTGTTAAAAAGGACTTTCTGATGTATTTCATTTCACTAGACTGTTCCCTGAATTTTGTGTAAATCAGAATGACTTGCCTAACAAGATACAATTATCAGTATTTTTTATTGTTACCAAAAGGGAATTTTAAATTAACCTGTAAAATCTAACACCCCAGGAGCTTGTGGTAATGACTGAGGTTCATGGGACTAGGGTGGATGCTGGGGAAGGAGTAAGATCAGGAACCTAAATTAATTTCAAAACTTTCCAAAAACAAAATCAGTTTGGATTTTCTTTCCTCTGTTAAATGCAGAATAGAAATGTTTCCATACCTACATCATGTTGTCTGTAATGACTTTGCCTCCTGAATGTGTAAAGTGACTGAACTGTGCTCATCTTACTTTTTTCTTTTTCTTCTTCTCAGACAACTTAGTTATGTTGGGCTCGGCTACAGGGCTGTCAGCCTTCCTGACCTTCATATTACACATTTCAAACGAATTGGTTAAATAATATTTATCCAAGTATTGTCAAAACAAAATTTCAATATTGGCATTGAAATTTATTAAAAAATCAAACAGTTCTTTTTTCCCCAACATCACTAGGTGACATGAGGTAAAGCTGTGTTTTACTTTTGCAAAACCTGTTGGATGTCAAACGAGGATTAAAATATGAGCCCTGCTGCTGATAACCAAATACAGACAGCTACCAAACAAAACTGTCTTCCCAGCAATCGCTTGGTCTGATATCATTTACTATGAAGCTTTCAGTTCTGATTAATTACACCCAGGAGATCAGTCAGTGGTGGAAATAAATGGATGTCTGCTTATTTTCAAGGTTGATTGTTAATGCTCTTTGTCATTCAGTCCTTCTCAGTCAAGCCTACCCATTTGTGAGCATTCCAGTGCAGTTTATTTGTTCATAATGTTGTCTTATGCCCAGAGAAAGAAAAACTCAGCTGTCGATTTGTCTCCAAAAAAGGCACAAACCAAGTTTACAAAAATGGGATTTTATTACATTTAGATCAAGAAAAGTGAAAATACGGAGCAGGAATTAGATGCAGTCCTTTCAAGCATTTGAATAAAGGATGGCCATTAAAACATCCACTTAATACTAAATCAACAGCTTAAATGAATACAGTAAGACAGGATACATTTTTCTAGCCTCTCCTAAGCACAACATTTGATCTACAGTGGAGAATGATTTTCTCAGGCCTTGCAAAAGAAAGAATTTTAATGCCAATTTGATCCGAATGCAAACAATCTGAACTACTGCAATGCTGATCTGAAATGAAGCAAATGAAAACCATATTCTCCAACTCAAAGCTCACTCTTTCCCCTGTGATGTTGTTGTAGATATTTAGGAGTATTTTGTAAATACTAAGTAAAACATCTGCTTCAACCGGGCCTGTGTTTGCTGGTCTGAAATATACAGTTGATCCAGTTTGTTCAGATCACATAAATAATGTCAAATGCTGCCAGATACACCATATGGGATATTCCGAGCATAAAGCAAAAAGGAATGCCCAGTCTAGACTAAAGTTTCTATTTTGAAATCTTAAATCTTTTCTTTAAATAACAAAAACCCACACTGTTAGATCATGGGAAGAATTTTCATAACCAATACCCTGTATCCATATGCTAAGTCACAAGGAGATTGCAGTTGGGCTGAAGACCATTTCAAGCCCATCCACCCATTTTCTAACCACTTCTTCCAATTCAGGGTCAAGAGGGAGCTGCCGCCTGTTCCAGCAAGCAGTGGGCACAAGGCGGGACACAGTACATCCTGCATGGGAGGCCAGTCCCTCACAGGGCACACGCAGACTTGCACGCACTCACATCATCAGGTCACAGTTAACCTACCAGCATGTCTTTGGACTGTGGGAGGAAACCAGAGCCCCCAGAGGAAGCACAGGGAGAACATATGAACTCCTCGCAGATAGCGCCCCTAGGTCCCACATTGAACCCAGGGCCCCAGCACTGAGAAAACATCAACACCAACCACCACGCCGCCGGGCCGCCCACAATCTCAAGTCAACCTTAAAAAACGAAAAAGAAAAACAAATTCCGCGGATCAAGGCGCTGGCAGATGGAAATGTACTATACGTTCACGGGTTCTACTGCTGACAGTGGGGCCGCAGCAGGCTGGCTAGGGCTTTCTCTCTGTAGTCTTGTGACATGAAAAGGACAAGTGGCTGGACAGTGGGCGGGTCAGAGGATTCGGTCTGATCTCCCTCGTTCGTTTCTCCCCCCGTGTGCGGTCACTGGGTTCATAGCAGCGAGTCAAGAGGTGAAAAACCCCTAACTGGCTAATTGAAATCGGGTGCATGTAACAAAAACAATTGGCTAGACCAAATTTACATTCAAAACCCCATGTTATTTCAGTCTGTTTATAGAGGTTAGCTATGTTTTTCTATGTGGTATATGTACATCATGACATATATATCACATAGGAAAGTGGTATTCAGTGCTATCCCCCAATGTGAGACTTCAAATTCTCTGGAGTACATATCCATGAGTTTATGTGGGAATAAAAAGCAAATAACATTCAGGTCAAGTATTTATAACTTGCTCAGAAAACTTACAGGCAGGTTATTATAGAAGTAGTGGCAACAGTAACCCTACTGGACCCCTCTGAGAGCTTGTGTAGCAGCACATGAATACAGGGTATTGGAGTAGAGAACGACACATTCCTTTTGAAATTAGTGCCCAGAACATTTTGTCAATAAATAAACAGTTGCTCAGACTTAGGTTGCACAGACTTCACCTATCCTCTTTCCTATGTCCTGTGTCAATGGTGGAAGTCCTACTAAACAACCTGCATGTGAAACCTCTGAGACCTGGTGTCTATTGACCGGAAACTGTAAACCTCTTAACCCGTCTCTCGCTATCTGCTGCAGCAATTCCTCTGCCCTGTTTGTTTTCCTCTCTTTGGCCTGACCCTGTTTGCTTCGTGATGCATTTGAGCTCGTAGAAATTAAGGGGCTTCTGCTCTTAACTTTGGTAGTTCAAAGGTGGGGCACTGACGAAGTGGCTGCTTGGCTGGATCTGCTCAGCTTGGGAGAGTACAAAGAAATCTTCATCCGCCATGACATCCGAGGCTCTGAGCTGTTGCACCTGGAAAGGCGCGACCTGAAGGTATTCCCTTTGTGCCTAACTCTATCCTTGGAAACTTAAAAAAAAAAAGCTCTTCTTTCCCTTCTTCTCACGCATTCTTTTCTCTGCTCTCTGTCTTTTCTGCCTCTGCCCCTCTCTGCTGTTGTGTGCTGCACTGCTTGGCTTTCTCTGTGCAAACGTTGTTTGAGAACAGAACTAATTTACTAACAATGTGTGCTCATTCTGTAAGCCCTTTTTTTATTTTGTACAGCGTTTTCAGCTCCTAGAAAGCAGAGACAGACAAGGCTAAATTATGCTCTTAAAAATATTTCATTGAGATGTCAATTGACTGGAGTAACATTGGATAACTACATTGGATCAGCCAAATGTATGAATAACAATGATAGTGGGAAATTATTAACAGTGTCTGTTTCACAGTCAAAATAAGATTTGGCAACATAGGAGGCAGTGCTTAAGTGTGGATTCTAGGTATTTGACACCAACAGCAAAAATGCTAAAAAACAAGGTATTAAAATGCATGGTGGTAGGTGTTTGAAGAGAAGCCTTTAGCTAGTGGCCACTGTTATCAGATGTGAGTAACAGGACACATATATTTAATTTCCTTTATTTTCAAAGTGTCAGCTTTATAGCAGTTTAACATTTGCAATAAGAACAAGACTCATATCAAGGCCGGGTTCAAATTTTAGTCTTACCAAGGTGGATGTTTAATGACTCAATATGTCTGTAAGTAACACAGATCTTCAAATGAGAGGACAATGGGCATATAGCACAGGAAACTGGGCACGTCTCCTGGAATTCCTGACAGGATATGCCAGAGATTGTGTAACTGTGACTTGTGTGATTCGTATCTCAAGACTGACCAAAAAAATACGTTTCTGGTCTTAGCCTACTACTAAAAGCAAGTGAAAACATAGTATATCCCATATATATGTTTTTTTTTTATTTTAGCTGATGTGTCTAATATTAGCAATGGTTATATGTTAATTCATTTACTTGCATTAGGCTCGCTCTTAAATTTATGTAGTAAATGACAGGGACACTTTTTGTGCAGTTTAGCCATTACTTTTTCATTTTTATATGTGGAACTTGTTTATAACCCATGGAATTCTCTGATCTATCGGTTCTGAAGTCTTATAATTTACAAATTTGTCTCCAATACCCAAACACACACTCAGTAGGAAGACTCCTGTACTCTTTATTTCATGAAGGAAATTTCACAATGAAGAGCAAGGCATTCAGACACACTTTACAGAGGTGCTGAGAACTGTATAGTGAAATTCAGGGAAGAGAGGAACAATTAGTTCATTCCTCCAAAAGCAATATCAATCCTCATGTTGTGAAAGATAAGGACAATGTAGTTACTAGAACACAACAATATATGTACTGTATCTGAGCCTTATCTTGGACTGTGCCAGTTATTATCACTCTGTCGCCATTGTTTCACACATGTGTCTTCATTATTAATTTTCATTGGATTACCATTTTTCTTGGGCTGTCTTTGTTGTCTTCAGTTGATTAATTTAATATTTTCTACCTTCAGCAGTCTGATTTTTTGGAGGGAATTTCAAAATCGGATAAAAATTATCTAAAATTTCTGTTGTACATTGTTGTTGTTGAAGACTACTCTTACAATGTGTTATTGTGCTTAAAGAACCAGTTAACATAGTTCCCCCTATATACTGTATATATTCACTGACGTTATGTATTGCATGTATACAGTACATGTACTGTATGTGATGTGTGTAAAATAACCGAACTGTTCTTTATGTTATAAAGCTAAAAGTACCCTTCTCCACTAAATATTCCAACAGTAGACTGTTATCAAACAATACTATTTTGAATCTGGGTTTCAAAAAGAAGTATTTCTTGTTCCCCATGACACATTTAAAGCTTCTTTTTTGATACAGCATTTTGCTCACTAGGACATGGTCAAAATCAAGCTTATTAACCAAAATATCTCTGTTGCTTCCTTTCCAATGGCACTCTCCCTCATTTTTGCAAAGTTTAAAGAGGAAGCTGAAAACGGTCACCTTTTTTATGTTGCAACTCCGGGTGATTTAAGCAACATGCTGAACCTGTATGACTACAGACTTTCTTTTTCATATTTTAGTAGTGTAGCACATTTATGGGATATGATTTCCAAACTATAACGTTGTGCAGTCCAGTTCTTTTAAATTCTCTTTCTGTATACTGCGATGCACGTTTTACCGTTTTAGTCTTAGCAGTGTTTACTACACCTGTCTTCTAGAGTTGTTCGTATCTGTTACTCATTACTCATTGAGACACGCCCCTAGATTTTCAAAATAGTTTGAAACCCTTTTCCTGCTTTGTCCTGGTTGCCTGTTTTCTCAAAATGGGCAGATTTTTTGTAAGCTACTGAGAGCTGGAATGTAATTAGTTTACCTGTATGTTCTGACAGGAGAGAAACTGCTTAAGTTTAAAGGTAAAGTCCTGGTCTGTCACTAGCCCTGCATTCCTTTCTGAGCTCATCACTTTCACCCTGTTTCCTTCAGAGGCATTCTGCAGTAGAGTGAAAAAATCCAGCGACAAATTACCATAATTTAGCTGTATTTGTTGATATGTTTTGGATGTTTTACGACTCTGAAAGATGTCACTTTGCTGCAGGAAGCTGTCCGACGACACTGAGCCGTCTAGACTGGAATCACATCATCATCTCGCATCCAATATCTCTTTTTTGGGGACTTTGACTCAAAATCACAAGTGGTCCCGTCTGATTCAGCCTTTGTTTTTGTTGTAACCCTAGGACCTGGGGATAACGAAGGTGGGACACATGAAGCGAATTCTTCAGGGAATTAAAGAACTCGCAAAGAACACCCTGTTGGAGCTGTGATGTACCAGGGCCAACCGGCGTAACGGAGGCCAGCTTCTGAGTGTTTCGCGCACACAACTTTGAGGAGCCCCTAACTTAAGGGGTAACATAGTCCGAGAGCCTGGTACAGAGACTGGGAGGAGTAAGAGGGGGAAGAAAGTTGTTTTGATAGTTAATCTTTTGCTAAAAGGAATGACTGCACTCTGCTTAAAGGATTTCAAAGTCTGTGCCAAAAAGCAAGCAAGGACTCGAGAGACGTAATGATGTTGGAGGTTGTCAATCTTTTTTAAAAGCCATTTTAATGTTCTTCATGTATGGCACAAACAGGTATGCAACTGTTGGTAAAAAAGCAGAGGCTGCATTACCACAGACACACAAGAGGTAGCAAAACATAGGACTTCCATAAAGACAGCGTCATCAATTTTGCATATGGCTTCATTATAGCAAGTCAACATATCACTTTACAGTAGACCGCTAGCTTTTGGTAATGTGATGCAACATTTTAGGTATAACTTGTTTACATTGTACAATGGTAAGGTGACCAGTGGTTTATCTTTATTCAAACTGTGGTGGAGGAAACAGAAAAGATAGATTAGTGACCAAAATAGTGAAAAGGTTCAGAAGCGGTGAAATAACAATGCATGGTGTGCCTGCTTAATTTGGTATATCTTTTACTGCATGATAAATGTTTGATTTTTTATGTACAAGAAGAACACTTGAACAAGTTTTATATCGATTTAATATCCTGTAATTTACTACTGAAGTATCTCTTTGCTCTAAAGTAGCCTTTTTCTATTCTTGCATGAACCTACTCTGTGTTAAGGAATTGTGCGAACTGTAGCATCTGTGCCATATCCTGAAGGGTAGTTATTGTATAGCACGTTTCACAGATTGCCATACTTTTTTTTAAACAATAACTTTGCCCAGAACATTTCAGAACCCGGAAGGACACTGTCAGTCGAATGATTTCTTTTTCACAATATTTTGTAACTGTGAAAACCAGTACCAAAGTGAAATGTTCTTTTACATTTCAGTGTATTTAGAGTTGATTCCTTCCTCGCATTGACATTAGAATGTCAATTGTTCTCAAAACTCACATTAGATCTAAAGTCCCTAAATCTTCCACTAAATGAGAGAACTAATCCCTTAAACAGAGGACATTTTACAACTGAAATTAAAGCCAAAAGATGAAGGACTGTTCAAAAGAGTTAAAGATATTAACAATTTACTGTTTCATGAGGAAATACTCAGGCACCTATTGCCAATGCTGAAATAGTAATAGTGTTAGAATAGTCTTTGAAAGAATTTAGTGGATGAATAATGTTTGCACCTTCAAGTTGTATTTTTTCTGTTGTACTTAAAACAAACATCATAGACACACAGTTCAGTCTGTTGCTAAATTAACTGCAATGTGGTAGCTTATGCACTAATCTCAAACATTTCTAAATATAATATATAAGTACATAATAAGTATATTCTGTATGTTGGTTAAATTACAGAAATTATGCAGTTGAGCTGCGACACACTTTTAAGTGCTGCTTTGTTGTTGGAGCATGCAGTGTAACTTAAGCTAGCACATTTATAAGACTCACTGTACTAACTAAAAGTAGGTTTAAGCATTGCAGGGCATATTGTATGATGCTAAGGTTTTATCACATAATGCAATGAAAATGTATATTGGTAAAGTTGTTATTTATAAGCTTTTTTAGTATTTGATGTATTAACGCTCACTGCACCAGAGCGCATTTTAAGTTAGAAATGGCAATTTTAGGGATTTATTCTGTGTGTTAAATTTATATGCTGATAAAGGTGCAATATTCTATTTATTTTAACTTTTTTAAAAGGTATAATTTAATTTTTCATTTGTAGCAAAAAGCGATTTTCCTGTTCCTCTCTTTATAGATAAATGGTGAACCATTAGAAAATGATAAATTTATCCAGAAACACTTCCATAATTCTGTTGATTATCCTGTTGAACTATGCTTCCTTAAATGTTTGCCAAATGTGAAAAGGGTCCATGTGTCCATCATATTGTCACCACAATCTTTCACAGAAGATTGACATGTTGTTTTTTAGTAAATGCAGTCATTTCATGGACTGTGACAGAGTGTCGCAGGTCCTTTAGTGATACATTTCCCCTTTCACGGAACTTGATTTATATCGATTCATTGTGGTGATGAACTGCTGTACCTTTGAAATGGAAGTGCTATAAATTCCTGATTCCTGTAGGGGGCGCAGAACTCACACACTGTAAATCCATCAAACGAATGATTCATTTCATGTATTATAAGGAGCATAATGCCTACTACTTTATGCTTGAGACCCTACATACCTTATATGCAGCACATTGAAGTGCAAATCTAAGAGAAAGACAACTTCTTGCTGTAGCCACAATCGTATGTCTGTACAATGATTTTCTGTGTCTTGTTCAGTTTCAGATTTCTCTGGTATATACACACTGGGCAGATGAGTGGAGAATAGTTGTTAGCAAATGGAGCTGTCTGAACTATAACACCTCCAATGCAGACAGCTGCTTAGTTTTCTTTACCCACTTTAAAATGGAAAGTATGTTTAGGCTAGTCTGGGAATTAAGAATGAGACTGAGGTATGAATCAGAACAGTGATGCTCTCACCAGTTGTAAATTACAACTCTGTGCTAGATGGTGGCCTTTTAATTGCTAAGGGTTTCTTCTTTCTACCCAGTAAAAAAAACAAACACGATTCATAACTGGGTATATGTTATTTATGTTTGGCAGGTGAGACAAGGAAGGGTTTTGATCTGGGCCGAAATCTCTTTGATGAATAACTAAATATCAGAATAAAAAACATGTTGTTGCACATACCAAGTGGCTGAAATTATGAGAATTTTAGGCCCTTACCTCTTCTGCATGCATTTAAAATGGCAGCTTACAGATATGTGGATACTGAACATTTCATTTACAGTAATTGGAAGGTGTAGCATACAGTAGCTACAGGCTGGGCCTGCTTATCTTGACTGGCTCAGATAACGAGCTTTGAGACCATACACCTCTATTTAAGGACACCAATCTTCAATTCCAGACTGGTAAGAAATAAGGTATTTCTTACTAGAGCCAACATCAAGGTGCTAGGAAGAGAAGAGAAATAAATTCACAAAGATTCCGGATATATTGTTTTAAGCTAGAACACATACAGTACTATATAATTTACACTAAACCCATTGGAGAGATGGTTCTCCTCATTCTGATTTGCAGTTTAGTTATGCTTTCAAGATGAAAAGCATATCCCTTGGAAGGAAATGAGGCGTGTGATGCATTCATATATGATGCTTTCATACCGGCCTGTTTTGATATTAATCTATAACGCAATCTGTTGCACTAATAATGTTTACCACAATCATGATGTTACCTATACTAGTACCTCTATCAAGTATTATTCTCCAACTTGTAAAAACAAATTCTATATTACAGATAAGGTAACCAGTAGTCTAGGTTATTTTAATACTTGTGAGAGTAAAACCTGTGTTTGGTATATATTTATGATAAGTGAAGTGTGAATAATTGTGGGATTTGCTATTTTTAATCAGTATTTATAGTTTTTTAAAACTCTAGTTTATAAAGATTTAATCTGTTCTAAATTAGCTTACAAATTGACTGAGCATTCCTTCTGGTTTTGCTGCTAGAAAGAAAGACAGATGTGGTTTGAAAAGTTACAAAATGCTTCACTGGGACAAGCATTTATTTTTTACTTTTTTCAAAATGTCTTAATTTTTTTCCCCTGGCACACACACTGGCACATGTATAGGACCCAGAGTTAAGCAAATGTGAGTTAAAGGTTTCAAGTAAAATGTTCTTCCTCTATTGTGGAAGGTCCCAAAAAATGTATTGTGGTACAGTAGGTGTAATATTATCAGTTCAGTTTTTCTAACCTTGCTTGAAATTAAAAAATGTAAACACCGTTTAAAAATGGAGGCTTTCCCCAGGCCTAGTCACAGTTTAAAATATGTTTCTTTTATTCTCATGCAAAACATCTGTCAAGGTTTGTTCTGAAGTTTTCTGTTTTTAAAACTTAAATAATTATTTTGGGGTTTTGCTTATCCTGGGAAAAGACAAACTAATACACATTTATCATTTCCATTTTTTCTTTATTTCGTAACATACGTAAGATAAGATAAGATCCCTTTATTAGCCAAATACAATTTGTCTTTTCGCATTCCCCCCCAGCTTGCTCTCCATGAGACACACAGACACACAGACGGGGAGAGAAGCTTGGGGTCAGAGTGCAGGGTCAGCCATTTATCAGCACCCCTGGAGCAGCTGGGGTTAAGGGCCTTGCTCAGGGGCCAAACGGAGTAGGATTCCTCTGCCGGCAACTGGCAACCTTCCAGCTATAGGCGCAGATACTTAGCCACAGTGCCACAGTGCCAATTGTGGACATAGGGTGCTGTCTGCGTGGAGTCTATATGTTCTCCCTGTTTTAGCTGGGGTTTGCTCTGTGTGCTCTGGTTTCCGCCCAGAATCCAAAGACATACAGTACAGTACCAGTAGGCCCTGGTGTGTGTGTCGGTGTCTGTGTGTTCTCTGTGATGGGCTGGCGTCACATCCATGGTGTATCCTGACATGCGCCCATTGCAAGCTGGGATAGGCTCCGGCTCCCAGGTTAAAGTGGTTAGAAAATGGATAGCTGGATCAGACGATATGGATTGAAATTCTAAGAGCAAATGCATTTGCATGGAATGTACTCTAAATCCCTTCCCAGTAGTTTAGAAATTTTATATTTGGGTCACATGGTTTTCAGTCCACTGGACCTAAATTGCATTTGCAAGATTTACTTTTTGAATATTTTGAAAGGAACCAAAAAAGCAACTTTTGTGACTTTGTTACCATACCATTTTTTTTTTAATAGAAACAAAACAATGAACTACTACAGGTGGGTAGCTACGTCAGGATGTGTAGGGTGCAAAGGAACAAGTAATAGATTTATTCCATGCTGAAAAAAAGAAAAAAGAAAACACAATGTTTCGGCAGTGGAGCCTTCTTCAGGTGTGAGAAACCTGAACCTTTCTCAGACCTGAAAAGAGCTCCACGGCCGAAACGTTGTGTTTTCTTTATTCTTTTTTTCAGCATGGAATAAACCTGTTGTTCCAATGAACTGCTACTACTTTCAATTTCAAGTAATGTCAAAAACATGGAATTGTTGTGCGGCTTCATTTCACTGTTGGGCACTTCTGTTACTCCTGTAACAGCTTTTAAACACCTGGAAATATGTCAAGAAGAATCATATATAATCATTCAGAGTGGTCTAAAAAGTACAGTGCTTGTGACTGTACTTTTTAGACCACTAAAAAGGTTATTCAGTTTGTTTCTGTTCTTATCTTACTCTATGTTCAAAGTAGAACATAAACATTTTATTCTGACATGTGTACTGCAACAAACATTGTATCTCTCTTTAGAGAATGTTATCTTGCCCCCATTTAACACTCTACAGTGCTACCCAGACTAAAAATGGTAATTAATTGTTAAATAGGTGAAATTAACTTTCTAACTGTCTGGTAACAGTGATAAACCAGTCCTTTTTTTGGATCGCCTAGCTTTTAAATTAAAAAGTCAATAATTCTGTTTAAATGAAAGGTTGCAGCTCGTACAGTAAGTGCTGCCTCTCTGTATTAATTTGAAAGAAATGTTTAATTATCTATATTATTTATTGGCTTTGGAGTGGGCGGATACATCTGTTTTCCACTACATGGGACTGAGATAAAAAAATAATGTTTTAGGTGAGGACAGCAAGAAAACATAGTATTTTATTGTTTCTTCCTGAGTATTCCTTTACAGGATTTTACAGTATTTTAGAAAAAGAGGGCAGTTCATCTCACTTTTCTTGTACCCTTTTAGGAAGTTAACTTGATCTCTTCCTGTGCACTGTAGGACTCCTAACCAAAGACGAAAACAAAAAGACGGTCATAGATGTTTTCTCATGAAAACTAGGGAAATCTGAAATAGTTGTGTTTTTTTTTCAAACTCAGCAGAGAGTAAAACAAGAGAGCTTTAAAAACAAGAAATGCAGAAACCATTTAATGTGTTTCTGAATCATAATGCAGATTGGTTCGACTAACAAAAACAAAATGGGAGTCTAGTATACTGCCAACGTATGCAATGGAGACAGTGATGTGCAGAATGTGCACTTGCTGGTGGTGTCCTTGCACCGATGGATTTAAAAAAATGCAGTGGTTGATTGAGACTGTCACATGACAATATTGAACAGGCAAACAGCAAACACAGTTAAATAATATTTAAAACAGTTGAATAATATTGTCTGCACACTTGTGTTCAGTGTCCCAAGATCAAGAAATGGTTGAGATGGTGGAGCTCCTACTGTAGTCCTTGTTCCAGCTGTGCAAGGTATTCCCTTCAGCATCCTGTTACTGAAAAAGGACGAGTATTTGTCCCAGCTGCCAATGACTTTATTCCCACATGTGCATTCTTCAGAGGTTTCAAGGTGGAGCTGTCCCTTTATCACTTTCTGGATTACTTAATAATACTGTAGGTGACCCTTGTCAATATTTCTCAACAAAACATTATGCAAATTTTAGACAACAAAGTTTGGCTGTAATAGAATGAAATGCTTCACGCATATAAATGTAGAATCCAGACAGTACCAAATGTGCAGTTGAGGTTGAGTCTGCAAAAATTTAAATTGGTCTTGTATAATTATTTTACCGTAATCTAGAAGTCTAGCATCTTCATATTTTCCCTGACTGTGATTTCTACTAGCAGCAGACTAACACTGAAACTGTAGCACTGAAGAAGTCTGTGACCCCGCACAGGAAATATTTTGTCCCCCTTTAGATTTTTCGTTTCACCGAGAGAGAGGCACACAGGCGGTTCTGAACACATACTGTATAATTTACAAAAAAAATGCCTCTCTGAATTCTCTGACTAAGCCTTAAATCACCAAAAGTCAGTTGTTGTTTTTTTAAATGTCTTTTGTTTTGTAAATGTGCTGTTGACTGCCCTTACAAAAATATACTGCACCTAGTTAGTGCAAGTTCTAATGCAGGAACCCTCTTTGTAGTAGCGCTGTACCACATACTACAGTCCATATCACAACTAGTCTATATTGCTTTATTAAGATACTCCTTGGAATCACACAAAAGAATGCACAACCCGTGCAGCATAAATACTGCAATATATTTTATAAGGGTGCTTGGTCCACTTACAGCATAGAGCTTAATGAGTGTTCCAGCTGTGTAAATATGTGAAGCTTTAAACTGCCTGGTATCACAACCAACCAATTTGTCTATTTACAGAGCAGGATAAGGTATTTGTGACTTGGTTTTACTAATGTTAAGGAGAAATGATTTTAATTTGTTTACATACTGTTTACAATGGCACAGTTTTATTTTTAATATAAATACAATATTTGAGTATTTATTGCATAAGGTTTAAGAAAAAAATGTTTGTGTTTTCACCTTTGGAATATAATGTTACAGTTACTTGTATAGATATTTGGGTGACCTTGTTAGGTAGTAATTTTTATGACTACTAAGTGACTGTTTTCTGTGCCTTTTTTATTGTAGAACGCATGATTAATACCTATTTATTACTGTATGGAAGTCACTGAGATGTGTATTTTTGTATTCTGCTGAAATCAGTGGTTCAATTTTGTTGTACATTTTGAAATGCCTTAAAGTAAAGGCTACCAGTTAAGATCTTCCTACCTAAATAAAACTGAATGCATTCATGATGTGTTGTATTTACTCTCTTCAAATGTCAAAACACCCCAGGCCATGTTCATAAAGCCTTTGCAGCTGTTTTAAATGGACACCTGCTTTTTCTTGAAAGAAAACCACAAAAATTAGGGGAGTGAGATAAATCTTTGTGTACACGTTTTAGAGTTTCTGAAAGACATTTGTTTTAATTTATATTACAGGTGGTAAAAATAACATTAAATTCCACCTACTGTCTGAACATTTGGTCTTAATGTAATTAAAATAAAAGGATATTAGAGCCAGAGGCTATAATAATGAAATATATCAATTCCCCAAAAGTGATTTATGCAAATTTATATAATACTTAAGTATTAATGTAATTTCAATCTTATTTCTCAGCTAGTTCCATCCTTCTATAGGAAACATTAAGTATTTTTAAAACACATAATTTCAATTAATCCCAGTGCCTTTTCCCAAACAGAAATTGAGCTTGGTTTAAAATCAGTATATGGACACATGTGTATAGAAAGGAAGATATAATAGTAAGATTGTAAAATCCTATCGTAAAAATAGTAAAATCCTCGAAATTTGGAATTGTAAGCATTATAAGGCTGCAGAAAAACAGAAGAGTATTTCTTATTTAGTACAGTTATACACTGACAATGTGAGCTGTAAACCCATCATAGCAAATTAATGTGCCTTAATATATTGCAGTATTAAAAAGGGCAATAAAATATTTCAAAAGAAGGGATCAGGTGGTTATGAGAGTAAAACACTCAGTGTTTTTGAATAGTTACTATAGGCTCCTGCAGAATGTTTATGAGTTGAAGAAAGCAGATCACAAGATCGAGTTGTGTAATCTGTAAGAATATCCCTCATAAGAGGCTTGAGAACCTATCCACTGATTGCAAGGTATGAATAAATGTGAGCATCATGAACTTAGAAATATATGCTATTTTGACAGATATCCCATTTCATAATCATAATCATAATTCCTTCCACTTCTGTAACACTCTTCTGGACACACCACTAAAAGCGCTTTACAGGTAATGGGGACTCCCCTCCACCACCACCAGTGTGCAGCCCCACCTGGATGATGCGATGGCAGGCAGTGCACCAGTACGCTCCCCACACACCAGCTATCAGTGGGGAGAAACCGGAGAAAACCCATGCAAACTCCATACAGATAACATCCCGCATCCAGAACTGAACCAAGGGGCCCTGCGCAGCAAGGCATCAATGTTAACCACAGCACCATCGTGTCGTCCAACACACAACTAAAATAATAACAAATTATTGGCAGAGAGCAGAAACTTTGTTCACCCTGAAACTTCTTATCTCATGCCTTTGGATTTGTACAGTAAATAAAATATGCTGACTGAATCATTTTCCAAAAGATATGTACTGTAATGAAGACGGAAATATTCACCAAAATACAGTACATTAAACTACACTGAAAATTGAATGCACAACATCCTGTAGTTCAAAGTCACAGTGTTATACAAAAGGGAAAGCAACATATTACAATATAACACAGCAATCGCCTTCAAGGTGTGGTATTTACAACAACTGTGTCATCCATTTCCCAGTGTGCCCAGTGAACCCATGTGATGAAAATCTCAGGCAGCCAGGAAGGGTTGCAGGTTGCGTGTTAGGACTGTTCTTCTCAGCTGTAGTCTGTGCTCGTGCAGTTTTTCATCTCACAAAGGGAGGCTCCAATACATGTGATCTCCCCTCTCGTGTTCCCGCTGGGGCAAAAGGCTATGGGTTCAAGTCGCCAATGCATACATCACTGCGGTGTCCCTCACAGAGACATTTACTCGGATTACTCTATAGTCACGCCAAGTGAGAGCAAATACTGCACATGGGTTAAAAATGAAACAAGTTGTGTTCATTGTGTTACGATTTCTCATTCCAGCTCCTCTTACCACAAAACTAAATGAAAAATCTTACTACAGTCCCGTCTCCTGTAGCACTGCTGATTCAATGAAGACCAAATTCAACGAAGACCAAATGAATATTCATACAAAATTCTTATCTATCTCTTAGGCCGTGCAAGATGTTGGAGCAAAATTTGACAGCCTTAAAAGTTTCAGGGGTATACCAGTTATACCCATAATTCACTGTGGCTTTTAACGCCCACACTAACCTCTGCTGGTGTCCCAATCTAGAGAGATAGGGTAGGTTAAGCCACATTGTAT